CCGAGGACTCAATAACTCCTATTGATGACGAAAATTAAATTGAACTGATGTATTTTCATATAAATTACTTATACTTGTGTTTCAAAATGTACAAATTATTTTTGTATTTTATGAATATTAAAATAAAAAATACTTCAATCAAACCTTTACATTAAATATGTTCATGGCATAAATCGTTATTATATATGTAATTTATTCAACAATTTTAGTAAATCACTGTCCTTTCAAAACATCACTTCAGTAAAATACGTCGGACAAAATTAATATATGTCAGTCATTTTTCTAAACTATTTATTTTGAAAGTGGCTTAAGTCACTTTACCGTAATGAAAAGTGGTGATTTTTTAATGTTTATACGAAATTATTTATACCCAGAAAAATATCAGTATCCTGAGATAACAAATACAAGTAAATCTTCTCGAAAGTTAGCATCCGTATTTTCAAACATGTTAAAACGCAAACCCTTAAATATATCGACTTAAAAACAAAGTGACTTATGCCACTTTCAAAATAAACGGCTCATATGAACGTTGTCTTATTTGAGCGATATTTTATATCAATCGTATTACGATTGATATAACGACTTATTCAGGTGTTTCGTTACAAATGCCTGCATATCTCATGTAGACGAACCTGAGTTATATGAACGTTGTCTTATTTTTAGCGATATTTTATTATATCAATCGTATTACGACTAAATATTATTGTCCGTTTGATTTTGTATTCTCTGTATAGAATGATCTATAAACAAAACGAATTACAGTAATGTCTCTCTAATTGACGCTCAGATTGTCCAGAGAAATGAAAAATTTGGGAAGAAGAGACAGATTGTCCATTTTTGTGTACAATCTGAGCGTCAGTTAGGGAGACATTACTGTGTATTCATTTTATGTGATTTTGGCTCAGATACTAAAACAAATTGAATGCTAACCGCTTCTTGTTCTGCTTCGTGAAAATTCTTACACGCGAACAATTTTACCCCCGCCTCCTCTCTCCCGATTTGTTTATAAAACCGAGATGTTACTTTATTGCTGAAGGTTTAAAATCAGAATAAATGTACAGTTTAATTAAAATAAATCTTGACGCGTAATAATATACGACGGTATTTGCGTTCGAAAAACTCGTCCGATTCACCAGGACTGGACAGAGGGATCTTTTATACGCGAGACATTCGAACTTGACCAGTGGGATTATACGGGTTGAGGAGATGTTAAGCCGGTTTTACCAAATAAAATATCGGAGTGTTGATTCCAAAGGCAGATATTCCGGTGGACATCAGTAGTATCCTCACGGTTTTGCTCTTCAGCGTGCTGAAGTCGAAAAAGGGTGGCCTATCATCAGTCTTATTCTTATCCTTGATCTTGCGCTTCTGATTTTTCAGGTGCAGAATCGCTCTGCGCTGGGGATGGTAGAGTGACGCGCTTCGATAAAATGTGCCCAGAATGAAAGTGAGGAAAACTACACCGGTCACCGCCTGAAGACCCAAACGCCAACCTATTTTACTGCGAAAAGAATCCACGACTTTATCCCAAATAAAATAGTAGACAGTAAATAAATATTAATGAGCAAATTTATTAAAATAATTAACCCTTAGCACTCCGAACCATTCTGGACGTTGGTTACCAGCTACTCAGCACCACTTTTCGGCAGAAACGGGCATTTACAGACCCTCGTATTATTTAATATGGTTTTGGAACTAACTAACATATAATGATATTGGACTTATATGAATTTGGCTGCAATCGTGAAATTTGCAAAAAAATCAATATTCTATTTTTTATAATTTTGTTATTGTTTGCTTTATAATTTTCCTTTGTCGTTGTAAACGCTATCTATGCGAACTCTTTCTCTCGTCGCCTTGTTGCTTGAACGATATCACTATCACTGCTATCAAAACGATAGACTAACTGTAGAAGAAAACCTTCTACATATCTGTAGTAACATTTCTGTGTAACATTTCTAACATATCTGTATAAACGTCTATCTGGAGCTCATCTTCGCTACTACTTGTGTCATGAGACTCATTCGTGTTTGAACGTTTTGCGTATTATAATATTTGCGTAATGTAATATAGTATAGTATTATGTTATAATATAGTATAGTATAGTATTATATTATAATATAGTATAGTATAGTATTATATTATAATATAGTATAGTATAGTATTATATTATAATATAGTATAATAATATAGTATGGTATTATATTATAAAATAATATAGTATAGTATAGTATTATGTTATAATATAGTATAGTATAGTATTATATTATAATATAGTATAGTATAGTATTATATTATAATATAGTATAGTATAGTATTATATTATAATATAGTATAATAATATAGTATGGTATTATATTATAAAATAATATAGTATAGTATAGTATTATGTTATAATATAGTATAGTATAGTATTATATTATAATATAGTATAGTATAGTATTATATTATAATATAGTATAGTATAGTATTATATTATAATATAGTATAATAATATAGTATGGTATTATATTATAAAATAATATAGTATAGTATAGTATTATGTTATAATATAGTATAGTATAGTATTATATTATAATATAGTATAGTATAGTATTATATTATAATATAGTATAATAATATAGTATGGTATTATATTATAAAATAATATAGTATAGTATAGTATTATGTTATAATATAGTATAGTATAGTATTATATTATAATATAGTATAGTATAATATTATATTATAAAATAATATAGTATAGTATAGTATTATGTTATAATATAGTATAGTATAGTATTATATTATAATATAGTATGGTATTATATTATAAAATAATATAGTATAGTATAGTATTATGTTATAATATAGTATAGTATAGTATTATAATATAGTATAGTATAGTATTATATTATAATATAGTATGGTATTATATTATAAAATAATATAGTATAGTATAGTATTATGTTATAATATAGTATAGTATAGTATTATATTATAATATAGTATGGTATTATATTATAAAATAATATAGTATAGTATAGTATTATGTTATAATATAGTATAGTATAGTATTATAATATAGTATAGTATAGTATTATATTATAATATAGTATGGTATTATATTATAAAATAATATAGTATAGTATAGTATTATGTTATAATATAGTATAATAGAGTATAGTATTATATTATAATATAATATAATATAGTATATTATAGTATTACGTTCTAATAAAAAATATGAATAAATACATAGGTTGAAAATTTCTAATTGTTATTGCTAACTCACAAGATAATATTTACCAAAAAAACTTTTACCAAACAATTTATTTACCAAGAGAAGAATCACTTTTCTGATTTTCTCACTCGTTAGATCTATACCGCTCGACGCTTCAAACCACACTGAGCTCAGCTTTGAAAATCTTTTCCTCCAGATTTTATGATTATAAATCTCACTATACAGTGCGTGCTATGTTCGCATACCGACCTTTCTTCTACAAACTTGCCTTATCGCTCTTTTCAAGTGGCGCCTTTGAAGTGCTCGGACCGTCGTGAGCACGCCTCTCACGTTCTCGTCAAAACTCGCTGACATGTCTTGTATATATCTTAGTAATTTTACTATATTTTGATTTGATTTCTTGTGCCATTTCAAGAGAAAACTTCAGGGAAACGTGCATGTCTCAAAAAGTTGCGCTGAAATAACTCAATTCCCCGTAATCACTAATAAACTTTAATGTCCCACGAGAGGGGACATCCGAGTGATATGCTAGAATTACGATGTCCCACGAGAGGGGACAGCGGAGTGCAAAGGGTTAAAGGTGTTATCTAGCCATTTAGTAAATTTCTTTTGTATTTCAATTGCAACGTCGAGAATCTATGTTATTCATTTTAAAATGTATATTATATTTGATATCCTTTAATGGACCAATTTATTTCGGACACTATATTTGAAATATTACTGTATGTTGACACTTTACCTGTCGCTGGTATGCGCAGTGTATTCAGGAAATGTCGCTACGCAAGGAGTGGGGACAAGCGACGCATGCGCGGGAGTCCCGCACAGCGGCGTGGCGCGTCTGCAGGGTGACGCGCCTATTGTATTGTATCTGCAGCTCTGCGTCGCGTCGCGTCGTCATCGTCGTTCAAAATTATAATGTTTACTCGGTAGACTCGCCGCGTCGTTGTGCGGGTCTCCCTGCGCATGCGTCGCCTGTTCTGAATACACTGATCCCGCGCCGTTTGATACCAACATCGATGGTACAAACTATTCGTTATTTTCGCTTCGACTGGGAACGAGTGCGAAATCGCAATTTACCTTAATTTCTTTATTCTTCCGTCAGCTACATGCACTTTTATTTAATAAATACTTTCAGTATTTAAATTTAAATATTTGTGAAATTTATCTGACAATTGATCGCTGATTTACAAACTACGATTTAATTATAATTTTGTTCATTTGTAAAATAGCAGCTTAATCCAGGAGAAAACACCGGCTTCTCCGTGCAATTTTCTCATAAAACCGCGCGGCATGTAAAGTGTCAAATACGAACTGATTGAATACTCGACCGACAAAGGCGGTATGTATACCTAATCGCTCCTTTTATAAAAGCCGACATAACAGCAATTCCAAGGCCACTTCCGGAGACGACGAAGATCTCAACCAGCTCCCTTCTTCGCTTGAAGTACTGCGCCACCATCAGTGTACTGCAGTCCCTTGTCAAACCAACTCCTATACCTGTGTTCAAGATTTCAAGGCAACCTATAGACCCGCTGATATTTTCATTCCAAATAGTTCTCCTCGAAATTCAATTTTTCTATTGTCGCTGTTTGGCCAACAGAATTAATGCGGACATGAAACGAATATCATTTACGTTCTATGTTCTAATACGACGATATGTAATGATGATATTGGCATATCATGCCCAATAATTGCTTGCAGTTACAGTTCGATAATGACTAACCGACGACCGTGCCGTAACTGAAGAACAGTTGGTGGAACTGCGTGGCGAACGAGGTGAAGAGACATCCAAGCGCCGTAACGAGACCGCCCAGGACTGCCGTAAGCCTCGTACTTTTTCTTCGACATAGTGCTATCGTCACGGGAGAAACGAGTAAAGCAACGCCCGTCGAGATTGCCCCAAGCCATCCTGAAAGAAACAACGAGATTATCTTAAACAGATGGACACTCTTATCTTCAAACAAGCGGAAACATCAAATGGAGCCGTTTATTTTTAAAGCGGCCTGAATCTATTTTCCAAAAACGCGTCGAGCTAGCCGTTTCAATATTTATATTTCTACGTTATATACAGGGTATCGCATAATTATGTTTATATCTGGAAAGGGTCTTTCTTGAGGTCAATTGACGTAACTTTTTCCTTAACGAAAATGCAATCCGCGGCTTTGTTTGCGAGTTATCAATGAAAAACTGTGACCAATGAGATGCGAGATTAGCTGGCGCGAGGCAGCCGAGTCAACGAGCAGTCGAAGCCCAGTTCCGCTCAATGGCTGGGCCGCCTCGCGCCTGCTGATATCGCATCTCATTGGTCACTGCTTTTCGTTAATAACTCATAAACGAAGCCGCGGATTGCATTTTCGCCAAGGAAGAAGTTACTGCAAATGACCTCAGGAATCACCCCTTTTCGGGTGTTAACATAATTACGAGACACCCTGAATGATTTCATTTCAGCGTAGCCGTTAGAACGCAGCAATCCTCAGAAACACGAAAACATTGTACTACCGTGTTATCAGTTACCAATATTTTTAAATTTATCAAAACACAAAATCTTTTAATATCTGGACTCCAAAATAAATAGGCATATACTATACTATCAAAGTAAACGGCTCAAATATCTGTCAACAGATTTAGGTAGATATTATTGATTGAATGTATTGGGTTGGCAACTAAGTAATTGACGATTTGTTCAATGAAATAAAAAATTTTTTTTACTTGGAATGAAGTTTAATCTGTAATGTATTTTCCATTTTGTTCGATGACCTTTTGCCATCTCTCTGACAACTTGAAAATTCTACGCTCGTTATTTCCACTTACACTGGTTTAAGTTCAACGTGGTTGAGACGGTCAATAGAAGGGAACAGTTCGTCAAACGAATTGGACCCTTGACAAATCTACGCGTTCTTCTTCGTTTGTGACTCGAAATGTGTCGTGATTTAATTATTTATTTATTATCCACGTTAACGTTCATTGCACCGCAATGTAATTGCAGGCGTTCCTGCTCAGACGGTATAAAAGGTATTCTGTGGGAACGAATAAAATGTAGCGAACTGCTGATTCTATGTTATTCTACTCTTATTCTATCGGGTTAGCAACTAAGTAATTGCGGATTTGTTCAATGAAATAAAAAATTTTTTTTACTTGGCATGAAGTTTAATCTGTAATGTATTTTCCATTTTGTTCGATGATCTTTTGCCATCTCTCTGACAACTTGAAAATTCCACGCTCGTAGAAAGTCTGATCCTTTTCGGCCAAAAACTGAGTTAAGTGAGATTTTACAGCGTCATCATCGTTAAAAGTTTTACCACGAAGGGAGTTGTCCAGGGATCGAAATAAGTGGTAATCCGATGGCGCGAGATCAGGGCTATATGGTGGGTGTAACATCAATTCCCAACCAATATCCATCAATTTTTGCCGAGTGGACAAAGACGTGTGCGGCCTAGCATTGTCCTGCTGGAAAATGACACCTTTACGATTGACCAATTCTGGTCGCTTTTCCTTGACCACTGCATTCAATTTGTCCAGTTGCTAACATTCACGGATAATAAAAAATAACATAATAATAATAATAATAATTTTATAATATAACATTTACGGATATCATAAAAATGGGAGTGAGAGACATCTATAACTGAAATCGGCAATTATTTAGTAGCCAACCCAATACTTGTAGTAGAAATGAGTAGGCGCGATTTGAAACATTGAAACGAGTATACAGGATGAGTCTCGTAACATGACGACCTCAAATAACTCATAAAATATTTGTTGTACGATAAAATGTTTCAGATAGATGTTGCATGGCCTCCAGAGGAACACGTAGTGTTCTAATCAGTTTTATGTTACTTTGCTTTTTTGTCAGGATATGAAGGTCCCCTTCAATTTTTTAAACGGAATTGTTAACATTTCTTCCCGAATTCGGATTTCATTTGATAAACACAATGATTAACACAATGATAAGTTGGCGCAATAAGTTTGCAGTTTTCAAAATGGAGAGGGCGTATATTCACGCCTTTCGTACATATTGCCAGACCTGCGAGGACTCGCGTCGGTATTTATGTTGACATCATTAATTGTTAGGCTTTATTACATATCTCTGTCGTGTATCTCTCTTTTGTTTGAAATTTGGCGTTCGCGTCAGTATCGAAGGAGAAACCGAACTGTTAATGTTGCTCTAGATTTTTCAATTAATAGTGTAATTCTTGAATTGTTCTATCATAAGGTAGTTCTAACGTAAAGTGAATTGAACTTGCATTAAATGTTATTTTTTGATTGTAATATTGAGTTTATAGTTAGTTATTTGTATGTTTTCTTATATCTAAAGTAGTTTAAATGATATATTTTCTATATATATTTTATATCATAATAAGCAATTTCTCACAAAATGCCAAAAGTTAGAGACAAAAGGAGTACAAATTTATAATCGTCGAGCAAATAGCGAATCTTTGAAAAAAAATTGCTATGGACTTCATCATTTCAAGAGAAGGTGTAAAAATGATATTTCAAAGAATAAATAGTACCAGAAATGAAAGACCAGAAATTTTTCCTAAAAGTGGAAGAAGGAGAAAGACAAATAGTTCGAGATGTTGACAAAAAATCCATTTCTTAGTGCCAGAGAATTGAAGGAAAGTAATGTTTGCCCATTAGAATTACACAAATAAAATCTCATATAAATGACGGCAATTTGCATGGCCATATATCACGGAAAAGTCCATATATTTCGAAGGCGATGCTGCGAAGCGTTTAAGATTTGCTCTAGAGTATTCTGGGAGACAGTTATTTGGAGTCAAGTAAAGAAGGCAATGTGTATGGAGGAAAGTAGAAAACTCAGGATTTATCATAAACTTGAAAACTGATTGCATAGCAGTTGGGCGTAACGCAACAAACCATTTCGAATCGTCTACTAAGCCGCTTAAGCCGAAAATTGAAACGAAAACGACCGTATGCTGGAAAAAGGGACCGTTATATCGTCGTATGAAATTTCTGCATGACAGACCGCATGTTGCTTCTGGTACGAAAAAGATCCTATTGAGTCTTGGTTTTCATCTGCTTCGATCGATGCAGCACGCCTTGTCTAATACGAACTTCGAATCAGTGGATGAAATGCAGAAGAGATGAAATGTCATGAAAATCGAATTCGACACTAGTCTGAAAGATGGCTTAAAGTTAGAGAAAGTAGGCCTAGCATTGTCCTGGTGGAAAATGACACCTTTACGATTGACCAATTCTGGTCGCTTTTCCTTGACCGCTGCATTCAATCTGTCCAGTTGCTAACATTCACGGATAATAAAAAATAACATAATAATAATAATAATAATAATTTTATAATATAACGTTTACGGATATCATAAAAATGGGAGTGAGAGATATCTATAACTGAAATCAGCAATTACTTAGTTGCCAACCCAATATTTTTCTTAACACCTTGTAGGGGCGAGGGGAACAATGGCGGTCAACGGGCAATGATAATCAGCATTATTATTACGAAATGGTACTTTCAAAAATCCACCACTTCTTTTGTAACGTAACATCGCTCCCCACATCCTGAAAAACACATCACTCAATTCGTGGTACGCTACTGTGAGAGACACGCCCAATTTCACGCGTCGCTGACATAATATTTTGTTCGCGCAACGTACGGTATAAGTATGAATTGTTCGTCTTTTGTCCTATGTTCCTAACGTAGGAACTAATGTCCTATAGTTCTGGCATGCAGGTAAAAGATTACAGTAAATTCTCCCCAATTTTCTTTTAGCTTGTAAACAAAAATGGATAATTTGAGAAGAGGAGATACGATTATTCAAGCTTCATTGCTCGTTTTTATAGTTGCCGATTGGCTACCACTATAAAAAACGAGGTGCAAGGCTCGAATGCAGTAGGTTAACTTCAATTGTCCCTCAGCTTGTCAACAAAAATGGACAATTTGGGAGAAGGAGATACGATTATTCGAGCGGCTATGAAAACGAACCGCGAGGCTTTTATAAACGTATCTCATCTTTCCTAATTGTCCATTTCTGTTTACAAACTGAAGGACAATCGGGGAGAATTTACTGTAATCGTATCTCCTTTTCCCAAATTGTCCATTTTTGTTTATAAGCTGAAGGACAATTGGGGAATATTCACTGACCATTGTAATTTGATGTCAGTATATTTGATTTATGTTTTTTATATTCAGTTTTAATAGAATGATTACCTTGAAGAATGCTTAATAAAGAAGAGATCAGAAAAAAAATACGAAAGAAACGAAGAAAAGCAAGGAAAGAAATTAAAACAAGCGTTAAAAAAAAAGATAAAACTAGATGAAAGGACCAAAAGATTTTTTGATAATATCGACGATGATGTAGTCGAAGCTAATAATATACAGGGTGAGTCTCATCATCATGACGACATCAAATAACTCATAAAATATTTGTTATACGAAAAAATGTTTCAGGTAGAAGTTGCTTGGTTTCCAGGGGATCATATAGCATTGTCATCAGTTTTATATCATTTTGCTTTTTTTATCAAGATATGAAGGTCACTTTCAATGTTTTAAATAGATTAGTTAATATTTCTTCCCGAATTTGGATAAAATGTTGAAAATTCTATATAAAAAAAGTATTACACCAAATGGGGTCTAAATTACATAGTTATGGAGATATTAGAGCGGCCAATCAGTATTGATAAACACAGTCCTAGATGCTACACATGTAACAAGGTATACAACGTATTAGCCGTGCATGTTCTACAATATCAGCTGAAACTCTTGAAAATGTTCCTCGCCTTCTAATAATAGAGAATACGTAATTGTATTGATTATAACGGGCAGAAGTTCAAATGTCACTTACAATAAAACTTATTTTGCCAATATCTCAATAACGATGTACTTTAGACCCCATTTGGTGTAATACTTTTCTATGCAGAATTCAACGCTTTATC